AAATCTAAGTAAAACTGGGAACCCGAGGCTGTATGTTCCTTTATCAGTGTGACTGAGAGCTGAGACCTTCTGGTTCTTTGAAATAATGCTGTGTCTGATGAAGCTTACGGTAAATATTGTTTCTGTAGGTGACTTACTGAAACAGGAAGTCTTCATGCAGTGGTTTTATGGGCAGCATCACATCCAGGACTGCTGCTTCAAAAGGGCTGAGTTTAGATGGAAAGCTCCGAATACTACTATGTAATGCAGGTTTTTTTCCATTAACAATGAAAGAACCTATAGCCAGGAAGTGAGTTTGGGAAGCATTGTGGATTTTGTGCAACAGATACTAAAAAGCTTTGAGTGCTTGGAATTATGCCATCTCATCGATGGCACTTCCTGTCCATTAAACTGCCTGCCTTCCTCACAGTTATTGATATATTACATATATCACTATACATATTTTCATATATATCAGTACTTAGCTGAAGCAGTCATTCATTCTAAATGGGCAGGATGTTAACTCTCTCTCTTTGTAATTAAATTCTTCCAGAGCAAAATGTTTGAGTGCTTTATATCACTGAGGAGAGTGGCTGAGTGAGTGTCTAGCTTTCCATATGGTTGCATTTTGTGTTGGCTTGTTTAGTCTTAATGGTGCCCCCTGGCAAAGGAATTCATTCGAGTAATGCAGAGCTCAAGAGAATTATCTAGTTACCTCCAGTGCCTCTGAGGACTAAGGATAATTGCTTTGTAACAGGGTGACATGTGTTCAGTTCTCTTGGTGCCCCTAGAGAAAATAAGCAACCATTTTGTGATGTATCAGCCATCATGTTTGGTGTTACACAGGCTGTCTCATTATATTCTTTTATACAGAACATTGAAGATGAGGGCCATTTCATAACTTATCTGTTACTTTAGATTTAGTGAGAACTCGGAGGAAGGCATCATGATGGAATGGAATGATCGTTGTCTACTCTCCTGGTTCTCAAGATTTCTTTTCTCAATTAAGAGCATCATTTTTTACCCTTCTCTTTTCCTTATCCCTTACGTTTAATGTAATCCAAAGGTGGTCAGTTTATTCTTCGAAATGCCTTGATTATAAATCCTATTTTGTAAAGTCATTCTCTTTCAGAAATTATTGCTTCATACTTAGAATAATAATAGGAGTAATAAAAATTGGATTTATCTAGCATCTTGCAGTTTACAAAGTATTTTCAGATATTCTAAATCATGCAGTAGTCATAACCACACTGTATGAGGTAGATGTTATTCTTTTTAATGTTCTGGTATAAAAACTTCCTATTTCCCTTTATTCTCTCCCCTGTTTGTCCTTCAAGGCTCACCTCGAGTGCCACTTGTTCCCATATGCTTTACCCTCCTCATCCAAGCTCCTCTACTGACTTGTTCGTATTTCTCTTTAACACTCATCACATGATGTGATTTATTTAACAAACTTTTTGCCACTAAGTGCAAGGCTTTGAATGAACTAGATAGAATACAGCTTCTGAGATGTGCCACTAAGTGCCACTCATCTTAAATGTCTGATATCTGCATATGATGGGTGTTAAGTTTTCAAATACTTTCCCCTACCTCTGGTGCCTTATTTTTCTAGTTAATCTTTCTACTTACAAGTGGTTGTTCAAACAAATCTGATCATGTCACCACCCTACTCAAAAACCTTTCACTTTAAACTTTAAGATGGCTTTGAGGACTTTTCCTAATGTGGACTCGGCCTTACTTTTCTAGTCACTTTTGCTCCCCTAACCACTCCTTCCCTATTTCTACACCTTCTTGATCCTCTGATACAACTTATGGTCCAACTACTCCCAGACCACTTACCATTCTTAGCGTACACCATGAACTTTTCTCATTTTTTGTTGGCTTCTGTAGTTTCTTCTCTCTGCGATGCCTTTCTCCTTTCTTCAACTTAAAATCCTACTCATTTTTTAAGACTCGGGGGAAGTGGCTGGGGCAAAAAAAGGAAGAAAAGGATTTTCTTCCTAAGACTCCTGTAATTACCTTCTCTGTTTTCTTGCTCACAGATCAGAATCGAGGCTTATTACTCTGCTGATACTACCACCTCACTTTAAGGGATCTCTTACTTTAAGCATAAACTTCAAGTATTATGTTACTTCTTTAACAGTGAAGGCATGCTGTATTCTAAATGAGTAAGGGATGAATTTTGGTGTCCCTACACCCACTCCTCCTCCCTTCCCCAGTAATTCTATTGCTAAAACTGGGGTGTGGGTGTCCAATTCAGGAAGACTTCTAAACATTTTAAACTTGACGGTTTTCCTTTAAGCACTACTAAGTTCTTAGGGTCAGCCCTGTGCTAAATAGGCTTTAGGTCACAATAACATGGCTTATACAGAGTCCCTTATACAGAGTCCGGAAGGGCTCTCCTGAAAGCCTTTATGCAACATCGTATCTGCTGTGGAAGAAGTCAGCAGCCAATTTGTAGTTTTAATCTGCCGGGAGTTGGCTGTTACTACCTCATCTATTTCTCTCCCAGTAGCATCCTTTTCAGAATTTCCTGAAATATATATTTTTAAAATTTTTTGATGCGAACATTAATTAGAAACACAAATTAACTTTTAGAAACTAAATATGATTAGTGTATAAAGAAAAAGTGCCTATTTCCCACTTTTGCTCTTTTAAAAAAGAAGTCATTCATCTTATAAGGATTTCTTAGGTGTTTGGTAACCTGTGAGTCCTCTTTATTATGTTTTTTCCAAACAAAAGTTATTCCTAAATTAGTGTACTCTTCAATAGAAAAAAGTACTCACCAACCCTATAGCATATTAAAAGTACAATTGTGTAGTTTACAAAGAAAGGGTCATCTGTTTTCTAGAGCTTGGTAAAAATAAGAACTTATATTGCAAGCAGCTTTTGATCCCAAAATGAAGTTGTTGGGTGTTTTTTTTTTTTCATTGTAAAAACTGTATCTTATAAAATCAGAAAATACTAAGAAATAATCATTTTAGGCTGGCCGAGTGGTGCGTTGGTTAGGAGTTGGATTGGGACGTCAGCTCTGAGCAGCAGGGCTCTAGTTTGGATCCCACACGAGGGCTAGTGACCCTGCGCCTTTACAGCTAAGATGGTGAACAACAGCTCAACCTGGAGCTGGGCTGCCGTGAGTTGCTGGCGATGGTGTAGGCTGCAGTGGGGCTGACCGGGAAGAGTGCAATGATCATAATACCAACATGGGCCAATGAAACAACGTCCTCCACAACTAGACTGAAGAACGAAAGGACAGCAACTTCTCTGTTACCCTCCCCCAATTCCCCAATAAAATCTTAAAAAAAAAATCATTTTAATACCTTAATATACATCTTTCGATATCCTTTTTTATACATATATGGGTGTATTTGTGTGTGTGTGTGTGTATAACATTTATTTCTGTATTATTTAAAAAGTGGTCATACTTTATATACCAGTAACTTTTTTTTTTTTTTAAAGATTTTTAT